ATTTAAAAAGTTAATTAAAATTTATTAAAAATTATAAATTTTTAATTTTAAATATTGTATAAAAAAATATATTAAAGTTCAAACGAAGCCTAAATCATACATTAATAAATAAATATCAAGTATATATTATTTAAACTTGTTGCTCACGCTATACTAGTAAGAATAGTTGCATAATTTTTTAAAAGAAAAAATATTTTACAAATGGTTCTCCTAAATTTTTTTAAAAGATATATCTAAAAATTCATATTCTAATTCATATTTTGCAAATTTAATTGTTAAATTAAAAATTTTATTTATATAAATTATGCATATCAATTTTTATATTAATTTAATAAGTCTCGTCATTTTGTTAATTATAAGAAATTTAATATCAATAAATATATATTAATAAATTGAGTTATTTTGATTAAAAAATTTTAAATATTATATCAATATAAAAATTGATATGCATAATTTATATAAATAAAACTTTAATCTAATAATTAGTTTGTAAAACAACTAATTAAAAAATAATTTTTTTTAAATATTTTAAAAATATAACCTACTCTTCACTATTTATTTTTTAAAAAGGATTTTACATAACATAACTAGGGGTAAGTCTCGCAGCCCTTTCAACAATTATGAAAGCCCAACAGTCTGTTCGGCCGGCTCACATGTCCTTACCAGTATACTCAAAACACAGGTGACAGGTCTACTCCGTGAGATACTGGCAGAATAATGTATTTTTTAGTGTGAGTTTTTTAATTTGTATTTTTATGATATATGTTAAATTTTATTAAATATAAAATTTTTAATTTATATTGTATAAATTTTTATATTAGATTTAATTAAAATAAAATATAAATTATAAAATTTAAATAAAATAAAATATTTATATTCAAAATTAAAAAAATAATGTAATATAAAAATTAATATAAAATTAATTATAAATTTTATAATTTTTTATACAATATAAAATTTTAATTAAATTAATTAATATCTGTTACTTAAAAAATTCAAACCCATAATGTACATTTCACTCACTGTTTAATAATCAACGTGGTCACACCACATCACATGCGATCACAATTATATATTTTATAATTAATAAACCTTACGTGTGCGGTAACGCGCAGGACACGAAAGTAAGAAACCCTTTGTAGTATTCAAATTGGAGCCTTGTTTCCGGCCTTCTCTGTGAAATCAGTTTCGTTGTCAAACCCAGAGCAACAACCATGGCATCCGTAGACGGAGAAGAACCTCATCATGTCATAAACATCTGGGAAGTAAACAAGGATCGCCTAAACACTATGCACCAGAAAATCTCTGCGCCACCGCGACTGCTCAGCCTTGCAGCTGGAAAGAGCACCTGTTGCATTTTCAGAGTTCCCCGGAGCCTGGTTGATATCAACGGCAGGTCCTATCAACCCCATATCGTCTCAATCGGTCCCTACCACCATGGCGAACCTCAGCTCAAGATGATCGAAGAGCACAAATGGCGGTTTCTGGGTTCTATACTCGACAGGATAAAAGTCAAAGGTTTAACCTTGGAAGATCTCCTCAAGGCCGTAGAGTCACGAGAAAAGGAAGCCAGAGAATGTTATTCGGAAAATCTCGACATGGGTACTGATGAATTTGTGGAGATGTTGGTTCTTGATGGTTGTTTTATCATCGAATTGTTTCGAAAAGTTGCGAATTTGGTGCCTTCTGATCCTGACGATCCAATTTTCTCAATGGCGTGGATTTTACCCTTTTTTTACAGGGATTTTCTTCGAATTGAAAATCAAATCCCGTATTTTGTTCTTGAGGTCTTGTTTGATTTATCCAAAATGCCAGGAGATGAATCAGGACGTACTTTATCCCAGCTAGTTTTGGAATTCTTCAACAACTGCATATTTCGCCCAGATGAAGACATCCCCAAATTCTCCCAGCTGAGGGGAAGGCATTTGCTTGATTTGGTTCGCACAAGTTTTATTCCTTCCGAAACAGAGAAACCCCGCAAGATTCAGACACCAACTTATGTCATCCACTGCATTTCCAAGCTCCGCCGAGCTGGAATCAAGCTTAATCCCGTCAAAGCAGCGAGCTTTTTAGAGGTGAAATTCCAGCACGGTGTGATCGAAATGCCTACCATAGCCGTGGATGATTTCATGACCTCGTTTCTGCTCAACTGTGTGGCGTACGAGCAGTGCCACAAGAGCTCCTCCAAGCACTTCACTGACTACGCAACCCTGCTGGACTACCTGGTGAACACGTATAAAGATGTGGAGTACCTTTCTGAAAGAAACATAATCGAGAACTTCTACGGAACAGAGGGAGAAGTGGCAAGATTCATCAATAACATGGGGAAGGATACAGCCTTTGACATCGATCAGTGCTATCTATCGAAACTGTTCTCCGATGTGCACCACTATTACAGGAGTAATTGGCATGTTCAGTGGGCAGGCTTCAAGTATACATACTTCCATACTCCATGGTCGTTTATGTCAGCTTTCGCTGCATTGATTATCCTAGTCCTCTCCTTCTTGCAGACCATCTACACTATTTTATCAAAATAACAAATAATGATTGATGTTAAGAGCAGGAATTTGTTAGTTCTAACATGTAATACCCATCAATTATTGGTTGTATGGAGTTCAATTAACAGATTCAAGGTTTGTTTACTTTGGATCGGAACAGAAACTGTCTGCTTTGATTTGAGAAATGAAATATTCCTGTGCTATTAATTAACTTGTTGATAAGTTTGGAATTGAATAAAAAATGCCTACAGGATTTGAATTACACATGTCAGCAATCAACAAACATTCAGAGGCACCAGTATAACCAAACATTCAATGGATATATGCAAACACTCCACATGGAAGAAGAACTACCATTCTGGCTGCAAGGAATGTTGACGGATTCAATAATTTGTAAGTTCCGTTTTCCGTGGATACAAATATTTGTTCAACAAAACAACAGCTGTAATCTCATGGGAAAAGACTAGGCCATCCAGTCATTTTCACTACCGTTGCCTCATGT